AGAAGGACATATTTTTTTCTTGTGCTCTAAAATACTTTCTTGTTTGTTATGTTGACTAAATCATTTTATTAGTACTATGATCCAGGAATTTTATGAGGTGATAGTCTACTATCACTGGCTCTTAGTCTATAATATATTCCGACCACTTCAATAACCGTAGGTGGTTCTACAATTATTTTCGGGCCACTGCAATTAATTCTTGGTTATTAAAACACGTTTTATAGCAGTTTGTAGCAGTTTTATTCCCATATTAAATATTAAACTCCCCTGGAGCCAAATAAGTTGTTGAAAACATCAAGGATCGGATGACTGATTTGAATTCTACATGTTTTCTACAATTTTATGGAACCTAGCATCAAAATAGGAAGATTCAGTTTGTGGAAATTTCAATTTGTGGCCAAGATTTGAGTATTACCGATTTTGGACCAATTTTCAAGACTCGTCCCGATATCGAACGAACGGGCAGATATATTTGAAAACAGACAATTGATTTGAATTCTACAATTTATCTACAATTTTTTGGAACCATTCTTCATTCGAAAAAAAATTCGATTTGTGGAAAATGCGTTTTTTGACCAAGATTTGAGTTGACCCATTTTATAGCAGTTTTTCGATAGCCGATTACTCAAAAAAATTGTTCCTACATAAAAAAAAGTAAAAACACTACATTAAAGTACATAAAATCTACAATTGAAATCGCCCTACCCGAAGTCATTTCGGCAAATTTGCCAAGATTTGAATATTCATCTCTACATCTACGTTATAGCCACATTCACGCCTATTGGACGCCCATATGAATGGGCAAGCGGCTCAATGTAACGTGATTGTTTTGTAAAATGAAGTGCCCCACAGAAATATTGTCCGAAAAAACGACACGTGAATTGGTTTTCATGCAAAAAAAGTTATGTACCACTTTTACTGAAAAACATTTTACGAGGCGATTCAAATTGAACATTTTTCGTGGGGCACTCTTTCATACAATATTTTTCGTTGACGTCACTCGTATTTATCACATAGTGCAAATTAAGTGATAAGGAGCGCGAATTTCGATGTGGCGATAACACCAATGGATTGAGCACACAAAATACAAATTTTTTTAAAATTCCATAATTTATGTTTTAAAAAAGTCCATAATGTGGTACTTCAGCTTTTATCTTTTAAGGCAGTTGATTATTAGGATTTACATGTTCAGCACAGTTGTAGTTTTTGCATGAAAACATGTTGAAATTATAGTTTTGTTCAATTTTGATTTGGAACGCACTCTCACATCTTGTCATTTTGACTTTCATACTGAGCGCACTCATACGCTTTAGTTTGATAGTTCACTGCAAAGCGTTCAGTTAGTCGCAAGCAAATCTTCATATGATAAACACACAACAGAGAAACATTAAAACGAACATTTTCATTATATTCCAGATAATAGTTATTTGTTATTATTTCCACTATTTTCAACAGGTTATTAGGCCCAGGAACGCGGAATTTAATGAAAGTAAAATTAGCAAATAGTAAAACATAAAGTAAAAACATTTCAGCGAGTTTTTTGGGACTTTACGCAATTTTGTGAACGATTGCGAAATTCGGATACAGAGTAACAGCGAACAAAGCAGGCGGCACTATACGTGTATGAACGTGTTTGTTTGGTGTAGTTTTTTCAAACGGTACACAGATCGACAGTTTATTGTTAGAGCACGAAATTGGATTTGCGGAACATTTTTTTTGAATCGTTTTTGGATTTTGCAATGTCGGAAAAGGATACATTTTGGATTGACAAATTGCAGGAAGCGTCGCAATTTACGAATTGGCGTTCTCAGGTTCGTGTTGTTTTGAAGGCAAGCGAAATTTTCGATGTGGTTTCAGGTAATGAGAAGAAACCAGAGCCAGCGGCTGATGGTGCTGCAACAACGGCGGTAACAGAGGCTGAAGCGAAAATTTCGGAATGGAACAAAAAGGACGCGCAAGCACAGAAAGTCATTGTAACGGTACTCGGTTCGATCATTTGATGGTGCACGTACTAAATTGTGAAACATCACTTGCAATGTGGCAAAAGTTGCATTCTGTTTTTGATCAGAATAATGAGATCGGCAAGCAACATCTTCAGGAGAAATTCTTTTCGGTCACATGGGACGGAACGAGCGATATGGCCACACATATTTCGCAAACGGAATCGTTGGCATATCAAATGAAAGATTTGAAGATTGCAATTGATGAAAGTACGGTTATCATACGAATTCTCATGACACTCTATGAAAATTGGAAGTAGTTTTTTCCGCTATGTTTCATCTATGTTTATTACTTATAAGTTACTTATAAGTAGAACATGTATGGATATGTCGGCGTATTTTCAGCGTAAAATGACTTGGAAATACTATGCAAGTAATTTTTACGCTGGAAATCCGCTCTTCCGTCCATACACATTCTACTTATAAGTAGTTTGCTTCTACTTATACGCTGTCGAAGTAATGTATATGTAGCAATGTTCTACATTGACACCAAAATGTTGTCAAACGTTCTACTTACACGCTGATATGCGTGTGCGTCAAATAGAGGCATAGTATTTCCAAGGCATTTTACGCTGAAAATATGCCAATATATCCATACATGTTCTACTTATAAGTAACTTATAAGTAATAAACATAGATGAAACATAACGGAAAAAACTACTTCCAATTTTCATAGAGTCATCAAACATTTCAGTTTCTAATAATCTCTAATTTAATGTATTAGATTCTAATTTACTAATGTGTCTACCCTCTAGGTGTTCACCACGTAGGTTTTCTCAGAACTAATACAGTTGCCAATATCGGCTATGACCCTGCTTCAGACGCATATTGCAGCCCGTTTGGTCCTACGATAGCAGAGATGGCGAGAGATGCTTTTGATGGAACTAATCCAGTTGCCGCTGCCGTATCTCATGCAGGTCCCAATGCCGGCATATCAAATGAGAAAAAAGACAAAAGAAGAAAAAAAGAGGAAGAATCATCATCAAAATTACCTATACCACCATATCATCGAAACCCTAGAACCTAGATCATCAATTCGATCCAGCCATCATTGAGAGAATAATCAATACAGATTCCTCTGTCGAATTTGCTCCAGGTCCTTTTTCCGACAAAATAAAACAGTTAAAAGACCAAAAACGGAAACAAGAAAAGAAATGGAAAAAAGCAATCAATATAAATGTAAAAGTCAAAAATCAATAAAATTTCATTTCAGATGAACTATTTGAATGTTTATTTGATGGAGAAACCACAAACTCATAACTATATGAATTTGGTGGTGGAATTCGAGTCATTTATGTCTTTTGTGCGTATATTTTACCTGCACTTGTTCCGAACTATTTCTTTCTTCAAATTTTGTTGTACTTCGTTTGTTCTAACATTCATTGTTCATTTCGATTTATTTTATCGTTCGTTGTTTGTTTGATTGTGTCTTTTGTCGATGATACTTATTCATTTTTCACGTACTGTCTTTATGTTGCTGATTTTTTAGTGATTTCATTTAGTTATTACTATATATATACATATATATATATATATATATGAATGCGTGAGCTCAAAAGAGCAACTTGGATTCGCAGTATTTTAATAATTTGAATGCTGACGCGATTCATATCAACGAACATTTTGTACATAGATAAGTACGATTGACATTGTATCTTTACATTTAATTGTATTGTTAATATTCTATTTGCGTTCAGTTTCATTAGATCTTTTCGAAGGATCATGTATTGGGGAAATTGTATCTCCACCGGTTTTCACTTTCTCCATTGCAATCTCGGTCTACTGTCAATATACGGTATGCATTTACTTTAAGCGGTCAGAAAAATCAAATTCAATAACTTTCAACGTCAGATACCCAGCGAGCTATGGATTGGCTATCGCCTCTTATGTTCAAATGGCATTACTCTGGGTTTCCGGACAAAACATTCTTGATCGCGTAAGCTCTCCACCATCAATTTATCATGCATTGTCTTCGCCTTTAACGCGAATCTGTCCACGTCATATATCTCATAAAATAAAAGATTACAGGAAGCATTCTATAATTGCAACTGGTTTCTGTTGAGGACATCAGACCAGATGTACGTGTAGTTTATGATCAATCAAATGCAGAATGGAGTCGATTTCAGTATGGGCTCGTTACAGCAACTAAACTAAGAAGTTTTGAAATCGGTAAGTAAAAAAAAAACAATTCAAAAAAGTCCTACCTACACATTTTATCATCGATGAAGATATCGATCTTTTTATATTATTATTATGATGACAATTATCATGGCTTTAATATTATTCTGTGCAAATCTTCAATTCCAGTTGACCACTTTTGATGTTTTTGTCCAGTTTCTATGAATAATAGCAATTTGAGATGGCTTCGTCTGAATGGAAACCACATAACGAACATAGAAGGATTCACAAAATCACGCCTTCCGAGACTATATAAACTGGATATTTCGAATAATCAGCTGTCATGCGAATATCTGACAGCATTTGTAGCACAACTCAAGCGCGAATGCCCGAAATTGGAACTGATCGGCGATCCATGGAAACAAAAACATGACCAAAATTGTAATCGTACGAATTAGAACACGATAAGATGAACTTCATAAACAAAATTGATTGAATCGTAAAATTATCAAACTACAAACCAAACCTTCGGAAAATGCGTTTAATTTAAAATAATTATCAATCTTTGCTTCGATTTGACTTTGAATTGATCAATTTAATTTGTTCAGGATTATCCATTTTGAATAAAAAAAAATTGTTTTTTTTGAAAATCGTTTCTTCTTTTCTTTTTGAAGATGAATTTGAGTATTTTCTACACTCTAATCATAAACAGATTTGTTTGTCAATGTAAAGTACTCCGAAGTCCTGATGACCGTAAATGAAAGGGTAGAATGCTATGAACACATATTTTTAACATTGCTTTGACTGTGTTAATTGTACAAACCACTAAATGATCTTGTTAATTTCTGCTTCATAATGCATCCAAGTAAGTATTATTCATTAAACTATTTCTTTCAACGATTATCAAAAGAAGCACTTATCTGACGAATGAGGTACACATGTAACAGTACAATTATGCAATGGGTGCGATTGCTTGTTATATTCATCTTCTATAAACAATCAAATGCAATTCAATATTTGTAAGAGAGCTGTTGATAAGACACACATTCATTACGTCCAGAAATAGCATGTTATGAAACACATGATAACGAGTTGAGATTTGAACTTATTTTCACTGGGAATTCCAATTTGAAATAGAGCTTTATTTAAATTCCGTGTCAGTAAAAATCCTCCGTAGAATCAAAACCGATCTGTTTGATCAATAGATTTGAACTGAGTTGAGCGTAAGAGCAATTCGATTTTTCTCTCTTAATAAAAACAGTTTCATTTCGTTGAAATGAATGTCGCGATCATTTTTGTTCTGTTTCTGTTCAAATTTTGTGAATCGGCTTATTTCTATTGTGGTCGTTGGGACCATAGAATAGAATCGGTTGAGTTTTACTGTTCGAATTTCGAAGGAATGGCGCCTGTGGATTGTTCATCATCATTTCCCTCTGCGAACGTAACTGATAAATCGAAAGTAACTTATCTGAAAATTGGTGGCTGTGATCATCATAAGATCAAGCGATTCGTCGAAGAATTTCCGAACTTGTTATCGTTGGATATTTCATCATCTGGGCTTGAAAACTTTGACTCATTATATGATCAAGAGTTTGAATTGAAACATGACCGGTTAGTAAAGTTGAACGCATCACATAATCATTTCACGAAAATTTCAAATTTACAATTGCCGGCTGCAACGGAAATCGACTTTTCATACAATAAAATATGCGAGATCAACGTCCTTCCGGCTAAATTAGTGAAAATTCATCTAAAACACGCCGGTCTTTCTACTTTTGATGGAGAAAGCTTTGTGAATTTAACTGATTTGGAATATATCGATTTGAGCTGGAGCAACATAAATAATTTTCGTGGCACACTAAGAAGTAACACAAAATTGAAAACACTGCGACTGGATGGTAATTCTCTATGGGGAGCTACTGATTTATTTATAACATTGAAGAAAACAGAAGTATCAGTATACCTTTCATGGGCGTTGGTTAAGAATTTGTATTGGAATATATTGGTGACAAGTGATATGCGTGTTATTGTCAACAGTAACAAAGAAGGCATTTTCTACGCATCGAATGGAAGTAGAGCCGACATACATTGCAATGAAAATAGTTTTAATAGAATAAATGTATTCCAACTTGGGAACAATTTCGAAAATCCCACAGAAATGTTGCGTTGCTTACCACCATCACTCCAAGTATTGAAATTAGGCGATTGTGTCGAAAATTTAAACCAAAGCAACGTACTAAAAAAGTTTACTAATTTAAAACATTTATATATAAACAATTCAAAATTAAACCAATTAGACTTGAATGTAGTGAAAGATTTGAAAAGTATTATGATGCTTGAAATCAAAGGCAACGAAAATTTACGACAAATCGACAATGTTCGAGTGTTGGAGAGTTTTCAATATTTAACATCGATCGATCTTTCGAATAATCGATTGGAGAATATCCCAGAGATAATTCAATGTTTGAATCCAAGTATTCGTTACTTGGATGTAAGTGGAAGCAATGCTGGAAAAGTGAACGTGACAACCTTTCAAAAATTCACCCATTTACGCGAGTTGCTACTAGCAAATACAAGTTTTCCAGTTAATGACTCCGAGCTATTTGATTCATTGCAAAGTTTAATATTCATCGATGTTTCTTATAATGATTTGGAGCATTTCGATTTTAAACGAGCTTTGTTGAATTTGAAGCGATTGGAAGCTGTGCGTGCTGCTAACTGTACATTGGCAAAAATCCCAGAATTTGGATCAACGCTTAAGGCACTTCATATATCGGATAATTTTTTGAGAGAATTGAAAACCAACTCATTCAAAAGTGTCACAAACTTGCGTGCTCTCAATGTGAGCAATACACATTTGTCGAGTGTTGATTTTGATGTGTTCGAACATAATCCGAAGCTGGAAGTGCTCGATCTTTCATACAACAGTTTGCAACGTGTTAATTTAACTTTAGCAATGAGCAATTTGAGATGGTTTCGTTTGAATGGAAACAACATAACGAACATAGAAGGATTCATTAAATCACGCCTTCCGAGACTATATGAACTGGATATTTCGAATAATCAGCTGTCATGCGAGTATTTGACAGCATTTGTAGCACAACTCAAGCGCGAATGGCCGAAATTGGAACTGATCGGCGATCCATGGAAACAAAAACATGACCAAAATTGTAATCGTTGAGATACGATGAAATTCAAACCGAAATTCATTAAAGCGTAAAATGTCCGAACGATTGTTGATCTTTTGACAAATTTTGAAAATCTTTTCTTTTGTTTCGTTTTTCTTTTCTTTTTTGAGGATGAAGTTGAGCTTTTTCTATACTCTAATAATAATTAATAAACGTTATTTGTTCAAGTCTTATTGACCGTAAATAAAATGGAACTTACATTTTCAGCATTGCTTCGACTGTGATAATCAATGTACATATAATTAAATGAACTCGTTGACTTCTGTTACATAATACATTCGAGTAAGTATTAATCATTACTAGTCATTTCAACAATCCACATGTAAGATTGCGAATGTGTATCGGATGCGATTGCTTGTCATATTCACCTTCGATTTGGGCAATCAAATGCACCGCATTCAATATTTGCAAAACAACTGTTGAAAAGACACACCTTCATTACGTCCAGAAATAGCATGCCATTATGAAACTCATGATAACGAATCGAAATCTGAAGCAATTTGTAGTGGGAATATGTATCCGCCGTACAATCAAAACTGATCAGTGAATTTGAATTGAGTTGAGCGTAAAACCAAATCGATTTTTCTCCGTATTAAAAACAGAATCATTTTGTTGAAATGAATGTCGTTCTGTTTCTACTCAAACTTTGCGAATCGGCTTATTTCAATTGTGGTCGTTTGGACCATAGAATAGAATCGGTTGAGTTTTATTGTTCGAATTTCCAACCATTGCTAGTATGCTGTATAATATTAAACGCACCCATTCATTTTTCATGGTTTTCAAATTCGTCGCGCAAAAAAATTACATTAGGTGCCCATTAAGAATGGACAATCCTTGCGTATTTAACCGAACTGGAATATATCGATTTGAGCTAATGTCACATAGATTATTTTAATGGCACACTAAAAAATAACATAAAATTGAAAACATTGCGATTGAATGGAGAGTTGCCGTGGGAAGCTACTGATTTATTTGCATCATTGAAGAAAACGGATGTATTCGTATTCATTTCATGGGAATCGATTGGGATTTGGCATTGGGGGTTGTTAGCGACAAGTGTGATATGCGTGTTATTGTCAACAGTGACAAGAAAGGAATTTTCTACGCATCGGATGGAAGTAGAGCCGAAATACATTGCAACGAAAATAGTTTTAAAAAAATTGAAGTATTCCTCCTTGAAAACATTTTTGACAATCCCACAGAATTATTGCGTTGCCTATCGCCATCACTCAAAGGAATTGGTCTGGATGACACCGCCGAAAAATTGAAACATAAGGGAGATGGTCTAGTTATGAGACGGGTTTTGTTTTAGATTTAAAAAAAATTCTGTGGCTTTCAAAAATGTAAAGTTAGAGTTCTATCATGTAGCTTATGTCCAGACGCAACTTTTTTCCGATGAAAGTTTATTGATTCCAGTTACTCGAAAAAAAATTTGACCAATTTTGTGAGGACTATTTTTTTGGCCCCAAAAAATTTTTGGCCCAGTTATGAGACACCCAGAAAAATTGAATACAAGTGGATAAATATGAAGGAAACTCATCATAAAATGTTCAAATATTATTTTTTATTTATTATAAAGACCTTCAATGGCTAAAATAAAGAAAATTGGGCCTTTAATGGCCTTACATGACAAGGAAATAACAATTTTCATTCATCATCATCATCGAAATCCTCGTCTTCGTCTTGTTTCATGTCACTGTCGCAGTGTTTGCAAGTAAAGAAGCTTGCACGCATGTCAGCGCATTTCAAGTGAGCTGGCCGCTTGCATACGTTGCATTGGATGGAATTTTCAGCGGTCAATTTGTTTGGTAACAGCGTCAAACAAATGATGCAGAAGTCCGTGTCTTCATCGGACGGTGGTGATTTTTCAGTTCTACGGCGCTTGGGCGGTGGTGTTGCTTTTGATGTTGCTCTCTTCGGTGCTGCTTTCTTAGGGGTTGGCTTCTTTGACGTTGCTTTCTTTGCTGCTTTTTCCGCTTTCGCTGCTGCTTTTTGCGCTTTCGCAAGTGCCTTTTGCTTCAAAACGGACATGGTTTCCGGAGAAGTCAATTCAGCACTTTCCATCGGTTTTCGTCCACGATTCGACTTTGGTTTTGGAGTTTTGCCTTGTAGAGGGCCAACCGCATCCAAAACCGACGAAGTGTTGCTTGCAAGAGACATTAGTGACACCGAGCTGGATAGTTCAGAGGGCTCAGATGTTGACACCTCTTCTTCACGACCAACAGGATCAATGGCATCGTTGAAAACGATGCGTCGCTGGTCGTCTTCGGTGATATCAGCATCAATAGCCACTTCTATGTCATTTTGTTCAACGGCTTGGACAAAGTCAGCGTCAGTAAAGATGTCCGGATTATATGGAGCAATGCCCGTTGCAATGAAGCTTTTTTGGAGGAGACATGACAAATCCGAGAATATTAGTTAAAATACAATTGTAATTGCATATAAATGCGTTTTGACAACAAAAATGACGAAATATGACGTTTCTATACGCTTTCAGTGCAAAATCTAGAGTGTCTCATAACTGGGCAACACGGTGTCTCATAACCGGATCGAGACGCCATTTTGAACATTACTCACAAAAAATTTTCCACAACACATAATCGAACAATCCGAACTAGAATCACAAAATATAATCAAAATACAACATTTTAATGCATTACACTCACCTTTTTAACTTGATTTTCACAAAAAATTGGCACTATGAAAAATATTCCAAATCCTTTTTTCACACGATTTTCAACACGATGTTTGGTGCGTATACAAGCAATGCGTCTATTCACTTCGGTGTTAGCCTAAAAACTGGCGGACATCGAATAAAGAACATTGACAGTTCTCATACCAACACTTCCATAGCGTATGACAGAAATAATTGACTGTCTCATAACTGGCGCTGTCTCATAACTAGACCATCTCCCTTACCCAACTATTACAAAAGTTTACCAATTTGAAAGTTTTATTTGTGCTCATCACAGAACGAAATCAATTCGACTTGAACGTGATAAAACATTGGACAAATGTGACGCACCTTAGCATTTTCGGAAATGAAAATTTACGTAAAATCGACAATGTTCAAGTGTTGGAGAGTTTTCAAGATCTAGAATTGATTGCCTTTTCGAGTTAATCAAGAAATATTTCACTATTTTAGTCCAAATATTCGGTATCTAGTTGTCAATGAAACCGATCTTGGAAAATTGAATGCGACAACATTTCAAAACTTCACCATATTAGAAGCGTTCCCTCTATCAAATGCCATTTTTCCAATCAAACTGTTTGACTCAATTCAAAGATTAAAAAAAACTTTTTTTCTGGGATAATGATTTGGAGCATTTCGATTTCAAACGAGCTTTGCTGAACTTAAAAGAATTACATTTTTTAAATGCTGAGCGCTGTAAATTGACACACATTCCGGAAATTGGATCAACACTTCGGGGACTGGATATACCGGATAATTTCCTAGGCGAATTGAAAACAGACGCATTCAAAAATGTCACCGATTTGCATTTTCTTATTATTTCAGCCAATTGACCTGGTTTCATCTGGAAGGAAACTTAATAACGGAATTGGAAGGCTTTACAAGATCAAACCTTCCACGTCTAATAGAATTGAATATCTCCAATAATCAGCTGTCCTGCGAGTATTTAGCAACGTTTATGGAATTGCTCGAGCGTGAGATGCTAAAAGTGAAGCTAATCGGTGATTCATGGAAAAAAAGCATGGTTAAAATTGTAATCTTATAGGAGGAACCAAAATTGATTAAACTCTAAAATGCCCGAAACACAATGAAATTTTAAATTATCTTGAATCTAAATGTGTTTCATATTTTTTTTCGTGCGTTTTAGATGGTAGAATTGTTACGATTCGCCTGATTGAAAATTACATCGGTTACCTCTTTGCAAATTTCCATTTGCTGATTTCATTTTAATTCTTCCTAATTTATCTGATAGTCTTTCAAATCAAATGAAAATAAAAATAATTATTTTCAATATAAAAACCAACGTTTTTGTCTTTTATTCTCTTGTGTGGTCCAATAATATGAAGTATTCTATCACTGTTCTGAATCCGCATTAAATGTAAAACATAGTACACACCACTAATAGTGTTTGTTCAGATAATGCTTCGTTTTTGTTCTTATTTTCCTTTTAACGAAAGTTATACAAAAATACAACAAAACTCCATAATTTATATTGAAGATTGAGGGCGATTTTCTCATCTCATACCCTTTTAACCACATTTATTAACTCCAAATACTGTGAATGCATTTGCATGCATTTGCAAATCACAGTCTGCATTGAATAATTGTCGCTGTAAAGAATCTATTGATAAGAGGCACATTCATTACGTTAAACAAATTGAGCGCATTAAAACAATATATAAAACTGATAATGAATCCAATAAGAAACTGTCGATTTTAAATTCAAACTTAAGTATTCCAGAGAAATGTATAGATGTAGAATTCCAATATGAGTACTTTGCTTGAGTAAATGTGAGCATATTTGTTCCAAAGGATAGGTCATCGAATTGATATTCATGGAGCTAGTTTGAATAAAGAGTAAAAAAAAATCATAATTTTTCTTCCCGAATTCCAAATTTTTAATATAGCCCAAATTAAATGTTGAATAAAATTCGGAAGAACATTCACAAAAAAACGTTCGTTGTTCATTCCGTCACGTATACACCTCAAACGAAAATTATCAGTGTATTTGTGATTGCATTTGATACAGTCCTATCAAAATAAAAGCGTGTCATTTGATTAAGTTGAAAAAAATCAGGCAAAAAATGACTAAAAAATCTGATTAAAAAATGCATTTCATTCAAATATTTTGCAAAATCCAACAAAAACTGATATAAAACCATCAATAGCCGCTGTTCCGCTGTGCTTGTGTATCGTATAGCTGGCAATACTAAAAGAATTCCATGCAAAAGCAAAACAAATAAACATTTCGTTTTCGAAATACGAAGCGAGTGTATGCCGTGAAGTAGCTACAGCTGTATGCGTGTGTATATGTATATGTGTGTATAGCGTATGCGATATTCGCATCTGTCACGATTCTTTCACCGTACGTACGGCTTCAAGTGTGTGTATGGCAAGTGAAATTGACATAACGTTCATGTCGTCCGTGCAACATGCGATGTGAGAAATGTCGGACTCGTTGTGTATGTGTAGTTGTCAAATGTATTGCACACAATCACACACGCACCACATAGTAGTAAACTTGTTCAATGGTCTCTCAGTTCTATCCACCATATTTATTCTCTCTATCTCTCTCATAATACGAATGATTCTAATATGGCGATAAATAAATGCACAAATGAATTTTCAGTTTTGTTCGGGCCATTGCATTCAATCGCAATATCACAAGCCAATGGATTACCGTTTCATTGAATCAAAAATCGAAAGTCAATACGAAATCCGAAAAAAAATAACAGAATTCTCTTCGATTCGTTGTATCGTGAGTGTTTTACCCGTCGATTCAGGAAAGTGCTTGTGAATTGTGTTGTGAAATTGAAGCGAAAGAACGAACGAGAGTAGGTAAAAAAAAAGTGACAAACGAAAGACAGAGAACAGACAACACACAAGCGAGGAGAAATGAAAGCGAAAAGTTGTTAATAACAAAAACAATCAGTCGAACTACAGTAAAGACAATAGACAATTTGGCTACTGTATTCAGAAGAGAAAAAAAAACACAAAGAATTGAAAACGTTTTCGGACGAGAGAAGAAAAGTAAACGAGTTGCAATGGTAGTGTGTGACAGTTGATTGAAACAATAATAAAATTCAATCCGAATTACGAGTGAATCATGCAATCAAGCAGATAATTTTTGTAAACAAATGTGACACCACCACAAATGTTCAATCGAAAAAAGGGACATTTGATAAACAAACGACGAATGAACAAATAAAAATTTGTGAAATAACCGCAATTGAATCCGTTGGAATAACACTCAAAAATCCACAATAACCCAAAACCCCACAAAACAAACCAAAACAACAAAAACTAATTTAATGTGGAAAATCGGCCGAGGATGCATCGAAACGATTTCGATCCGTCGACCATAGCCACAATATCATCTTCCGATGTATCAACAACGGCGGCTACGGCTTTGGTTGAAAATATCAAGGTAATAAATAAACCCCAACATCAAAAAAAAGAAGAAGAAAACAATAATAACAATGTGTGTTGTTGTGTGTTGTTGTGTGTTATCGGCCACAAAACAGACTCATCAATTAAAAACTGAATTTAGCGTTTGAAAATTCAATTAAAAACAATATCAAGATTTACATTCATGATTTTCGTGTGTTTGTACCGTTTTTGCTTTATTCATACAAATGAAGAAAAATTAGTGATTTTAATGTGTATGATTTTAATATTTCGATTTTGTTTTTTAGCCACCGACAATGGCCAACTGAGTTCGTTGTGTATCGAAAACACAATCATCATTGCCAGTTTCGTGTGTTATGGCTAATTGTGAAATTTGGTTTGGTCATTCATTGGCAAATTTGTACCAATGTGAAATTGAATGTTGTCAATATTCGGGCAAAAGAATCATTCGAATCGCTTCGAATGGAATTCGTTCGATGCTCGTAACATATCTTGACAACACCGAAGCAATTTCAAGAAATAGTGCATTTATGTGATTGTCTCATTTGCCGTAGACCGATATCCACAGATATTTCTCTGCATTGACAAGAAATGCGGTATCAAATGGCATGGGACATGAAGTGAACGAAAAACGCTGGCATTTATTGTTATCAATTTGCGGAAATGAATGTTTGGAATGCAATAAATAGCCGCGAGTGAAAGAGACGAAGACGATTTGTCAGAATGGCGCGCAGCCATTTTGCTAATGTTTTGTTGTAAAATGAACCCCTCCCCCCCATATATTTTTTCTCTATCATTCACTCTCGACTTTTTGCCATTTCACTTGGAGCTAGGAAAAAAAAAGAAGAAGGATGTGTGTATTGTGAAAGACATGTGCATATATCACACAGTAGCTATAACTAAACACATCACGTCACATGCCGTCGACATGAAGCATATCCAGAATCCATTAGAAAAGGACAATCAACGAATGTTCTACTGCTTTGATTTGCAACGAGAGAGGAAAAAATATGTAGAGATAAAAAGAGTTCCATTCATTTCCACTCTTGGATTTCTTTTCTGGTGTTTTGTATGTGGGAGTGTGAATGAGGAAAAAAAAGAGTGGATGCGTGATGATGGTACATGGATTGATGATAATGATAGTGCATTCTGTTACAATGTGTAGCCGTAGTGTTATGTGCGGAGGATGGTTAGTGTGCGGTGAAGCACTCTTTCTTTTTGCTCTCTGTAGCTAATATGCAAACAATTTTCCTTTTTATTTGTACCGCAAGTATGCTGTCAATTATATCAACCAGCCCTTGACCTCTTTCGCTCCGCAACATTTGCAATAACGGCTTAATTCGATATGTTGATTTTCGATAACATCCATCACAGCCACGGCTCTTATCTTCAAAGGAACGTTTTTTTTAAGCAAGAGAAAAAGAATTTAATTTGCATTTCAAGAGTCAGTTCGTTGTTATGCAAAACGGTTTCTATGATATGAATTCATTCTCCAATCTCTAGACTCAAATATCCAAGCGTATACACAAATTATAAATTTAAATTGCATATTGCAGAGGGTGGATAGGTTGCAAACCATTTTTAGCATATACAAAAATAAAGGCAATGCTTGACACTAAAAATGCAGTCACCTTGAAATCGAAGTTTTCAAGGTCTTTACCACATGCTTTAATTGTTGTTTCTCGTTAATTGTTTTTTTTTCTCTCGTGTCTATGTGTTGATTATATTTATAACCTGTTAGTCCGTCTATGTGTACAAGCGTTTCGATACATTACCCGTGGGATAAATTGCAATTAATCATGCTCATGCTCATATACAACACACAAACCAAATTTGGTTTTAACTTGATTTAACGAGTTTGTTTTTTTTTCGCCACACACGATGTTCGGTCAGATTAAATGAAGTGGTGGCGGGTTTATCACGTTTTTTGCTTTTTGTGCACCATTTCCTTTCACCACCATTTCATAAATTGCACCTAATAAAAATGTATGCATTCTACGAGCGGCATTTTATTTTCAAGTGGATTTGGTGCATTTCATTACTTTGAATTGAACTTTTTTTTTCGACTCTTCCGTTGAAATTGTATTTAGTTAATAAAAATGATGGTTTTTTGCTTGTTTCATTTTTCACTTTTAGAATATATTGAAAAAATTATCGAATGCAACGAGTGAGTGCAGCAATCGAACGGAATTATTAGCGGCAGCCTGGCTTAATCTACAAAATTTGATTCAAACAAATTCCGAACATTTCGAACGATGGATGCAATATATAGTCAAATGTACGCTGGAGTCAATGTTAATGGTATGTGTACCAATTTTTGACAGAAAAAAAAACAAAACAAATCTTCTTCACTGTCTTATTCGGCTTATTATCCGTGTGTTATTTGATGAGATGACTATAAAATATAAATACCTTTTATGATTGAATTAAATGACGAGTAGATTTATGTTTACAAACAATCATTAAAAGTCGATTAAAAGTGCACGGATGGAAAGTGTGATCCAGTCATTAGAAATATAATGAAATAATAAAGAGAAATTTATTTTGAATCATTTGTAGGACTGCACAAAGACCGACGTCAGAGACTTAGAGCAATTGAAAACTAGGATAAATGAATGTGCACCGTTGCTTGAAAAGTATACGAATATTTATTACCGATGCAAGTATATTGTTGAGAATATCAACGAACCATGGTCTCATCCAACACTGAAACTGATCTTCAATGACGGCAACCAGGCACCCACAACCATATCAGATGAACAGCTTAACAAAGGTGAGCATGAACGGAAATGATGTTGAAAACGAATGGCTTTTGGTTGAGAATTTTCTCTTCTTTTTTTTTTAAATGAAAAATTCAATTTTCTTCCATTTGTTTTTCCAAGAATCATAAACGGCATTTGTCTAGAACATTTTCAGTCCCTGGAATAATCACAATCATTTTCAGTTCATAATAATCTTTGAATAATAATCAATTGTCGAAAATAGAATATTTAAAATTCCCTTTAATTAATCAACAATTTTCTTCTTTCGCTCCACCTGTCGAACAGAAATCGAATACTTTTCGATTGAACGAGGATGTATGATAGAAATGCGTGCACGAAAATTGATCGAGACAAAATGTGATCGTTTGGCCATGAATTTCGTGACGGAAGCGTTACGTGTGATTCAAATGTGCACCGACGAGCACGTGCTACGTCGAACCGTGTCGCTGGGTCATAATCAAACGTTGCTCGAAATTTATTTTTCCTTGATGTACAAATTCAAGGAGTCTTCCCGCCTAAAAACTGAGTTGGAAGCCATGGAATTGGAATCGGTCAAAGAGTTTATAATCAATAGTTTTGCAACGATTGACGCTCATGTGGCCCTAACCAATCGAAAAAAATCAATCGCAAAACCAAAGACCGGCAAAAAAGAGCAGCTATCATCGGCAGCACGTTTGCACAAATATCATCTGGCCGTGAGTCAATATGCATTGCAATTGATTTTGGTGCGCATTTTAAGTGGTGAATATACAACGAATGGCCTAGAAAATATCTTCAGACGACTGCTAATCGAGTGGATCCGAAGAAATAAGGACCTGACAAATTTCGAGGAACTTTTTCAAAAACTCATTCAAACGGCCGCATCCAATTCACAGATATACGATTGCTGTGAAATTCTATTCGAAATGGTTGGTACACTGAAATATGCCACAGACATTTATCCCATTAAAATGTATTAATTCAATTTCTCGTTCATTTTCCAGTATCCAAACGATTGTGAAACGGCATTGCGGGTATTTTGTTCGGAATTAACAAAAGAAATCAATGTGCTGGAGCACAAAAAATACGACGAAACGGTCGATGCGTCAGTTATATTGGATTTGGAGAAGCAAACATCGATACGTTACTTGTATTTGGGGCAACTCCTGCATGGTCATCCAAATTTAGAAAAAGAATGTATACTTACGGCGTTCTCAATGAATCCAACCTACGAATGCTTCCAGCTGGTTTGTAAATTGGCTGCGTCAGAACAAAGCGCAACAGAAGCAGCTACCATGGCAGCGACAACAACAGAAACAACAGAAATGACAGAAATGACAGAAACAACAGCAATAACATCACATAATGAATCGATTGATGCATTGCCCACCATTACCAGTTCGGATTTGCTCCTTAATTCTAAGGAATACGATGCATTGCGAGCGCCAAACCGTTTGCTCGATTCGCTCACGTGTTTGTCGGAGAATGTGCGGTCGGATTTGGTGTGCTTGTTGACGGTGCCACGTATTAAAAATCTCAATTGGCTCGTTCCATGGCTAGATTTGAAGAAAGAATGCGAAGAATTGCTGGTGACCGAGAAGAAGATGCAAATCGTCGAAAATACAACGGCTAGTGCGAATGATAAACTCAAATTTATCAACCTAAATTACGATGATTTCAAAGATTTTACACCACATGAATATCCGGGAATCGAAAAAGGATATGAAATTTATGTGGCCGACAGCGATAGCGAGGAATCAGTCCAATTGGTTCCGAATAAACACGGCGACGACAGCGATATCGAAATTGGAGGTGGCAATGCGAGTGAAGTAGACACCGATACCGCACCAGAATCGAAGGAATTCATCGTCAAAGAAGCGAAACGTTTGCGCGCTCGTAAGCGGCGTCTGATTCAACGAAGTCAAAAACTGCTGGAAGAGAGCGAAAACGCTGTACAAATTAAGAAAGAACCAAATGATGGTGATCAACAGAAAAAGAAGCAAAAGCTCCCAAGACCAATGAACAGTGATAGTTTGAAAAAACCGAATCGTAAGCCACGAAAACGCCCATTGAAGAAGGAAAAATCGGGCGAAGAAAATGTTCCAAGCATACCTACCATTAAAACCGAACCGGACACCGATCAACTGATTGTTGATATAAAACTCGAACCAACGGATATTGACATAAAACAGGAGCCAGTTGATGATGACACAAAATTTGACTGTGATGAAGATGTGTCGCGAACATTTGCTGATTTATCAAATATGCAACAGTTCAACGGTGCAAATTTTCCACTAACTAATCATTTTTATTCAGTCGTATCGAAGAGTGAGCCCGCCGATGAAATGACCAAATCGAATGGCATTCAATCAATGCTAACAACAAACGGCGATAGCAACCATGAGCCATTGAGCAATTTTTCCCAACTCACCTATCCCCCAAATCAATTTGAACAGACGTGTACGGCAACGGCCATAGCAACCGACGATGACAGTAACCTAGTCAATAGCATAATTATGGCAGCACCTGAACTACAAATTCAAGCACACGAACAAACACCACCATTCCCATTGATTTGTGACGATGGGGATTTTGATGAAGATGAAAAGGTTGATATGCAATTTCAAAATATAGTCGGAAATATGAACAAATTGCTTGGCTTAAATTCCACACAAATTTCCTATTTAACAAATGATGCGACAATAAATAGTATGCAATCCGTACAAGAGTCCGAATCACAATCGCCAGTGATAAATGAACTCTGCCCATTGACACAACAACCACCAGTAAGCGATGTCCCAGTCGTCGATGAACCAGTCGTCGATGTTCCAATCGTCGATGTGCTAGTTGTCGATGTACCAGTCGTCGATGTTCCAGTCGTCAATGTGCTAGTTTACGATGAACCAGTCGTCGATGAACCAGTCGTCGATGTTCCAGTCGTCAATGTGCTAGTTTACGATGAACCAGTCGTCGATGTACCAGTCATCGATGTACCAGTCGTCGATGTACCAGTCGTCGATGTGCCAGTCATCAAGCCAACACCTAATATGCCAGTCATCGAAACGGATAGTGTTATGACATTGGATAGTAATAGTAAGAGTTCATGTGATGTGCCATCTGCATTGAATGCGACGAATTCGGTGATTGGTGTGCAAAGTCCAAAGCCAAAAAACCCATTGATGGCATTCCGAAAACCAAAGAAAACCACCACCATCAAACCAAATGATGCGGCAACTGTAGATTCATCGAATGGACAATCGAAAGATTCAATCGCAACTAATTCACCGTTGATCGCCAGCCATGCGAACGCATTCAGCATTGAGGGAAATCTAAACGTAGATTGGACGTCCACATCGTTATTAAATCAAGATGATCATCGAAATGGTTCAACAGGCAATTTGGTACATGGCAATCAATATGATCTCCCCTCATGCAACATCATCACCACCACAGCTTTGTCGAATGGCCAGGTATGACTTCTGCTCCAGTTTTGTTTGTTGAGATAAAAAATTGACATTCTGGATTTTTCGCTGCAAAATAAACTCTTTTTCGTTCAAAAGTTACATCTTTTCTCCTAGTTATGAACAGGAGTTGCAAACGGACGTTCTTCAAATTCTGTTAGAATTTTTTCCCCCCACACAACGTTTGCAACCTCTGATTAGAAAATAAAAAGTGAAAATTCGTTTGCTTATTTTTGATTTTAGTTTAACAATTATCGTACCAATCCTTTGTTTTACAGTGCACCGAACGACTTGAAAAGCCATTAATTTTGACCAAACACTGTACGGTACGTTTAAATCGAATTCCAAAATTGGATCAGTTAAGTGGCCAAGACACGGTTTATCTGCGAGAATTGAAGCAACCAAATGATGTCATCGACAATAAAAAGGTGATCTAACGTTCGATTTTTATTCTTCACTTTTTGGTCATTTTTCTTAATGTTTGATGTTCATTTTTTCCTTTTTCACATTTCGAATTATAAATTGTTTCAATAAAAATTATCATTGACCCATTTTTAAACATAATCGTTACAGGAAACGATTCCATTATCCATGGCGGACTCAAAAGCAAACACAAAAAGTGTTGATGCCGACGCCGCCGCCGCCGACTGTGATCAAGCAACGAATGAAACGTCTTCCGCAGACAAAACTCCGCCATCATCATCACCATCATCATCACCATCACAAACAAATCAAAATGCAATGGAATCGGGTGGAAAAAATGCTCAAACGGCTGAAGAAGACGAAGATGAGGATCGTAAAACAAATCATTTGTATCCGTACAGTTCGATTAGCAGTAGTCACAATCACAATGGTAACGATGATGATGACGACTGCAACAGTAGTGAGGACACAAAAACCAGTTGCCCCGGTGAATGTATTAGCCTTAAGACTGAACAACACAATGGACAGCAACAACAGGTATGTCGAATCTGTTCTTTTTTTCATTCAATTTGTGATTGTCAAACGATAAATGGCTAAATTAATGTAATTTGTCTGTTTGCAGCAGCAGCAAAAACAACAACAACAACGACAACAAGAACGCAGCAACAGCGGCGAAAGAAATCAGCACGAGCATCAAAAGCAACACTCAGGAATGCCACAAAATGTATCAAACGAAATGCAACTTTGTGCCCGACAAAGTTTTCTCATGCAAAACCACACCGTGAGCTCAGCCAATGTGGTAAAACATTTAAAATGCAGATGAGAAGAGAGAGAGCGAGAGAGCCACAAATATACGAAATATCTCACCTTTTTTTTCATTTCAATATTCTTTTTTTATATAAATATTTTTATTATTATTTCTTCTTCAATTCCTATTGAACTCAGAGGACAATAGACTAATTCAATCGGAACGGATTTGCATTGATTTTATGGACAAGAACGAATCGAACGAATTTTCAAAGAGCTATTTTGTTAATAAATATTTTATTATTCTTATTATTCTGTTGAATTATTACTTTGGTTTTATTGTTTTGTTTTGTTTTGGCTGTGTGCCATTTCTTTTAGTATTGACTCTTTTGCTTTTTTCGGCATTATTGACTCTTTTTTTTTCCTTTTTTCTTTAGCATTGATTTATTCATGTGAATTATTTTCAGTTGAAAAGAAAAGCAACAAAAATTTGAATGTGAATTTTCATTTTGAAATTTCGTTTGACTCTCTTCATCCCTTTGTATAAACTCAAAGACACGCATAAACAAAAAGAAACTTGTTATTCTCTCCAATTCTAGGAACGCAACAATATATGTGATGAAAATACGGTGTATAAAAGCGGCTTATTAGTCGAACGGAATCCAAATTGGCAACCGCAAAATTATTCAACGCATATCCACGCACAGTTTTTCAACAAGAACAACCACAACAGCAGTGATTCGGTTCGATATACGAATCTGGTCGACTGTATAACGAAGACTTCATTGACGGCAATGACATCATTGGCGCCACAATGTGCTGCCGCCGCCAACGATGCCGACGACGCATCATCTTCGATTCAACATATCAACTTGTATTCTAATGTGACAAATAATAACAATTGTAAAGGTAAGCGTGTCGTCATGCACAAAATCTGCAGCTCCATTGTAAAAATGCTAGCGCCAATTGTGGCCAATTGGCCGCGGCGCAAACATACGAATCGATTTCTCTTTGGCGTAGAATTAAAATTATTTGTAATACTTAATTTGAATGCGCTGCAAGCGCAAGGAAAATTGCATAAATTGTATCAGCTCTGGCAAACGATGCGTCAATGGACGCGCACATGTGAATCAATTGCAGCTTGTTGTTTACACATCGAACGGAATAAACAGATTTTTAGGTTAATTTGTGTGTACTACGCTTTTCGCTGCCTATCACTGATTATTACCACACTCACACTCACATTTACTATTATTATGACTATTATTGTTATCGTTTTACATATTATTGTTGATTGGTTTCGGATTGCAATGCAAAAAAAGGATCGATATCCAAAACTGACCGCAGTATTTCAATCGATTGACTTTTGGGAATCGGTACAATTGTGCACCACCACGACCACCACCACCAACACCACCACTTCCGCCGCGAACAGCATAAAAACGAACAACCACCCAGTAGCCATCAAATGCTGTTGTTCAAAATGCTGTGGTGGCCACCCATGGAAAAATCGATTTGATTCATGGATGATGGCGAAAAAACAACTGATTAAACAACATTGTTTTTCCACAAAGGAAAAACTCCACTGTCACCCCACCGCGAATCACTTGTTTAATTCAGTGCAACCAACGAAATTGCCCGTTGCCAAGAGTCGCATTCTATTGCAGCGTTTTTTCGACAAAAATGACTTTATTAAATGCCACAATTCGGTTGTTGTTATCGTTCGAATGGTGCAAATCGTTGTGCCGAATGATAAAAATGCAACGGCACTCACGCAATCGGTATCGGGTGAATCGGTGACGCCGATTGAGCCGGCCGCACAGCAACCGGACAACAATTCCACAAACAATTTATCGATGAATTCCAATAATGGATCCACTTCGAATGGTGATGCCGTGAATGATACTAGTCTTGCAGCATCCACAGATGCCATGGACAGCTGCCCGATTGAACGGAAGGCAAACACAAGCACAGCTTCAAGTGTGCACACCATGAGTAATAAAAAGTCCAATGTTATCATGGTGAAACGATCAAAATTGCAGGACAATTCAAATGGTGGGGTTCCAATGCCAGTGTTTCGTTCGATGAGCATATCAACGCCAAAATCCACTGAAAATCGATCACCACTGGCCGCAACTAGTGTGATTATCATGAATAAAATGGGCCAAACGGGGAAAAATGGTTCAAATCTCAATAAAACCGAAATGTACGAAATGCCAACGCGAACAAATCACTTGCTACGCATTCTGAATTCACCACCGAAACCAATCAATGCCAGCCCGTTGCCAACGTTTGGCGCGAATTTGGAACGGACAATCGGCGGTGCGACACCACTTACCGATTTTCAGAAAGCATTAAAAGTACAAACGACTCTAGCGAATGAGGTGTCGCCGTTGGTCAAAGCAGAAACGGATCAAACAAAATTGCGTCATTTGTTAAACGATCAAAATGGCAACAAGAAATTGAATAACAATTTATTCATTTGCAAAACGGAAGGTAAAGTGATCCGATTAACACCGTTGATGGGTTCAACGATCACGAATGAAGTGAAAGTTTTGCCCGATTTGCAACAGCAAAAGAATATTTGTCCCATAATACTGGAGAAAAAAGATGGCATTTCATCAAAGTCACCGCCACCGCTCACTGTGATGTCAACATCAACAACGGCCACCAAGAATTCAGCATCGGTTGCTGGTACAAGATCGGTGTTCGAAGAGATTTACGCTAAATTCATGAACACAAAAGATGTGCAAAAGGATGCGATTGTCGAAGGTGAGAAGAAAAACGGTGCAATCACCACAACAACGCTAATGGATGTGGACGATACGAAAGTGATAAAATCGGGCTTTTATTCGATTCCAACGTCACACACAACGATCATATCGCCGAAACAACAAACCACGTTCCTGCAATGTCAAGGCGGTTTGGTCAAAGCAGATGGATTCAATGTTTCACCAGTAGCGGCTACATTTGCATCTGGTGATGGTAAAATAGGTGCGAAAATGAATACCATTCAAGCGGCACCAGCGATTTACTTGAAACAAATGCCCAAACATCGAACCGCACAATCAAAGAGCGGCTTATGTGAGATTTTAGTCACCAATGAAAATGATTTAAAAGTTTTACAAAAGACTGGCAATGAAACAACGACGACGAACAATCTCAGCACAACGGCAACCATTGCAAATCCGGCAATGAATCAAATCCACATCTTTCCATTGATTACATCATCGAATGGTCGAAATGTTGCGATCTCATCGGCACAACCCAGGACCAGTTGCATTCGTCCGCAGGTAATTATCACCGGAACAAACTCCAGCGATAGCCAACGCATGCAAACGAAAATCGAACCGGAAAAGCGAAATTTGGTCGATCAACTTCGTGAATTCGAAATGGTGATGGAACAAATCAAAGAAGAGCGTAACATTAATGAAACTGGCGATAAATTGATGCTGAATAATTTGAGCGGGATACTCAATCAGCATATAATTGATAGTTGTCAAATGAGATCGGTTGGTTTGCCGCAGAAGATCAATTTGGCCATAATAAAAAAGGCCACCACAACTGGCAAAACCATTACAACGCAAAAAATAACAACGACACTGTCTGATACGAAACGTTGCACAAGCACACCGGTCGTTGTTGTTACGGCCGCCGCTGCAGCCAATGTTAATGCTTCTACAGCAAAAACGGGGCGATTAACCATCAAGTCACCGCAAGATGTGACCAGTACAAAATTAAATGCCGATGGTACATCACTGATTCAGTCAACATTCGAAAATGTTGCCGCATCGGTAAAAATCGATTCGGCAAATTTTAAAGCAGTTGCTCAGCAGCAACAGCAACAGCAGCAGCCATCAGCCCAAACACAAGCAACAGCGGCCGCAGCAGCAAAACATCCGCAAAAATCCCAAGAAGATGAACAAACCGTTCAGCGAATCTATGACATTTTAGCTCAGTATGCGGAGCAGATAAGCAGTTCACCCGATTTAAATAACAAACCGGCACCGCGACGTCGTTCAAATTTGGTATCAATTCAATCGTCACCGATCACAACGTCTGGCATTCGAATGGTCTCATCAAAATCATCAATGTCATCGACATCATCGACCACCGTTGGTTCGATCATCAGCTCCAGTTCGAATTCAAACAGTTCCAATGAATCATACCACAGTGCTACCATAAATGAGTCACGAAAACGTACCACAAGTCTTCAAAATGATGACCCAAATGGGAACGATTGTGCAAGTAACATTGATACGATTACGATTCAGCAGCCGGCCGATAAAAAGCGACGTATATCAAACATAAATTTGGACGGGAATGATTTTATTTTAACAACCATGCCATCACTATCAACGTACACTGCATTGCCGAAATCAAGTACGAATGACATGCTCAAGACGGCAAACAATCAGATCATCATCACAACAACGACAACAAATGCCCAACAACAAACTACCAACGAAATAATTCCAGCCACCATAAAGCAAGAAGGGGGCAGCGGCGGCGAGCTGTTGCTTACAAATGTCAACACAAATTTAACAAATGGCAAAGCACAATTGTCCACCAAACTCAAACCACTCACAATCGGTGTAGCGAATAGTTCGATCGTTGAGTCAGCGATGGTGAAGGCAGGCGGTGACGGTGGTGGTGCTGGCACAGGACAACAATCTCCAGCTGCTATCCTACTTCCGGGCATGTCAGTTGTCGTGTCAACGGAACAGAATCTTCAACAGCAGCAGCAGCAACATGGACAAATAACGACAAAACTCACAAATTCAAATAACACTTCCGGCGAAACGGGTGCTCGCTTCTGTGGCTTCACCACTGGATTCCCATACAAAATCAATATAGCCGGTGCAAATAAATGTCGTCCATTCAAACAGTGCATTACGGGTGGACAAAGCTATCGAAATGACAACTACATCTTGCCCATGGGCTTTTTGAAGTATAAAAATCCGACGACAACCACGACAACGGTAATAAGTGGCGAACAATCGAAGATCAACCAAATGAATCAAATCGTTCATCCGAATGTTGCAACCGTAATGATACCATCGGCAAATGTTCAACGTGACCTTGGTGGCGTTGGAAACAATGTAAAAATCATATCGACCGATTCGGTTACCATCAATAAAGATGGTGGTGGTCTTGCAAAAGCTCAGCACATTCAATTCAATATCGCAAAAAAATCGGACAATTTTACCACAATTCCAGCAGCAGCAACATCATTACAATCACAGTCAATGGCTACCGTTGGCACCGCCCCAACACTCTTGTTTCGAACGTTGTCGGGCACGAATATTGGTGGCATTCATCACAGTTTGAATGTAAAAAAATCCACGGATGATGGCTTCACCACGATATGCGAACAATTGAAAAGTTCAAGTGAGAATTCAAGTAATCTTTTGCCGACATTCACCTCAATTAAAGCACACCAATCGGATGCACAGCCATTAGTCGAAAGTATTCAACTGCCGTCGCAAATTTTCCAGTCGAATCGTGGCATTTTAATACTTGACAGCAATAAGTATGCAACACTTTTGACGACAAATTACACAATACCAACCACAACTGCGCCGGTTATGAGCGAAACGAAGCGTTTATGTCTTGACGATGTCAAGTCGTCGACGTCGACGTCGACGTCATCATCACCATTGTCGTTGTTGTCATCAGCGGTGATGTCGGCCGAACCAAAAACAACGGCAATTACAATGCCAATCACGTCAGACCAGTCGGTGTTTAGCACAAAAATCGATATGAAAGTTCCAATATGTGATAGCGAAGATGATTTTCTAAACGGATTAGATTCACCGAAATGCGGTGATGATGTGAACGATGAATCATTTGATGGGTTACACCAAAGTGGTCGCATTTTTTCCATGCATATGAAAACACTGCCATCACTGTTTGGTGGGGAATATTCCAAAAGCTGCGATGATATTTTAGATCCAAATAACCATAATCACGATGATGACGATGTGGATGGTATTGATGATGCACAAGAGTTGATCTTCCATCGATTGGACAAATCAAGCGATAATGTGGTGATAATTGACAAACATAAATCGGACACATTAACATTGAATTCGGTGTCATCGGAAACACGGTTGAATGCACGCACCAACAGTATCATTGAGCGTGAATTACGCTTACAAAAATCACTGTCCGAAGAGTGTGAGGATTTGGGTGTGGACGAACCCAGCACCAGTGATCTATTCCCCGATGCATTCATCAGTTTTTAACTTTAATGGAATAAAAAAAAGGGATGCGAACATTGTTGGTAGAGGGCGGGAAAAAACCACACGCAAACATATGTATGCGGAGAGAATTAGTGAGAAAAGTTTACATTTTTTTTTCTGTTGCTGTTTATGTTGGATTTTGTTTTTAATGTGGTTTTCTCATTTTGTGGTGTGAAATGAATGCAACTTTTTTTTGCCATAATGTTCATTTGCTTGAATCGCCCGGTTTTTCCTATCATTTTCATTTGAACTTAAGTCGTTACATTATAATACGTTCTATGTATATTATGTTTCTTTTCATTATTTGTTTCGTTTAATTTTTTTTACTGTCGTTTTTTCTCCATTTCCACGTTTATTCTTTTCTTCTCGATTAGAATACCGATTGCGTCGCACAATTTAGTTGGAGTGGAAAATATTACGCGATGGAGAAATCGTTTACGTGAATTGGCAGCCAAAAGCTTTTGAGTTCATCTCCACTTCGACTACGCTTCGACTATTATTATCATTTTTTTTCCTTCTATTTGTTCGTGTGTTAGACAACTTAAATGGCTGTAACAAATGCTTGAAATGCAGTAATTTAATTTGATCTATGGTCTACTTATAGACGTGCATGGGACACATTGCATATCAACACAAACAAACACACACACACACACATTCGAAACTAACACCAAACGAAACAAGAACAACAAGATGTAGAGAGACTGAGAAAAAAAGAACTTTCATTGGCTTATCGTAATTCACGGAATAATGCTTCTTCATGATCTATAATTCAAAAGCAGGTGTTGCTCTCGGCTCTACAGCTCGATTCATCTTCTTCTTATTCGTTCTCGTTTCCCCGCGTTGCAGCCACTGCAGCTGCCGCCTGTCCATGTGTCTCTCTGTCTCTAACCCGATTTCTGTTGACGATGCGCTTCGATGACGTGATATCGAGTGAGAGAGAGAGAGAGAGAGAGTAAGGGAAAGAGAGAGGGCGGAGAGAGGGAAGGAAGAAGGGTAGTATGGGATGAGCATATGGTGGACGGCATCGAATCGAAAATTGCTCTCATCCGTTTAATCTGTTGTGAAAATCCACATATGAAATTTTGCGCATATGAACCAAACGCTACCTCTCACTCGATTCTTGAGCAATTGTTTCAGGTGATGAGCGAGCAACTTCCCCAAAATGCAATTTCGAACATTTCAACCAAACACACAACGAACGACCGACACTCACACACCCAAATATTTTACCCATTTTGGCCATAAGATATGAACACTTCTTGCAACGTCATCAATGTGACACATTGGACGCCTCTTTGTGTAAACTACCCGATGAATTTATTGCAAATTATTCGTGCTCTGCATTTTCTTGCACGAAAACAGCGGTACGACGATAACGAATGGGTTTGAAAATAAGATCAGTTATCATATAATATGGGGTTTTCGTTTCGAAAACGAAATCCCAAAAATACATTGAAGAAGTTATGGGAAATAATTTATAGAGTGCGTGCACGAAGCGACTGCATACACATAGAGAGAGAGAGAGAGAGAGAGAAAATGTTCGAGTTGTGTTTTTCACTCATCAATTGATATATTTTAGAGAGCAAATGATAATGCCTTTGTGTGAAAGAGAAAGGGCGAGAGAGAGAGATGATACAAATATTGTCGATTCACATGGTTTATGGAGCAAATTTTACAGTCGTTCAAAAATACTATCTCGGGTGTGCGTTTTGATCAAATCGTTTGGAATAGATGCACGTTTCGCTTAATTCATGCGTCTAATGAAATATTGAAAGTTTTTTTTTCCTCCCCTCTCTCCACATTGTCTATTCTCTTTCTCTCGAAACAGTAATTCAGCATAATTTAGCCAAAATCATAAAGAGGGATAAACAGAGAGAGGGAGAGAAAGCGGAAAACAACAAGAATGAAAAAGTAATAATATAAAAAGTTGATTCATTTCGGCGATAAAAAAAATTGATTTAGTTCAGCAATATTTTGTTTTTTTTTTCTTCGAACAATCATATAAATTATATTGGAAAGTATTTCACATTATGTAAGCAAAAAAGACGAAAAAGAAATTGGTGGTCAGAAATATTATTATCATTTCTCATTTTATCCTTAGCGAGAGAGAGAGAGAGAGAAAAAAACGCATTCTTCTGCTTATTCTATGTTTTATTGAACTTTTTTGCCTCCTTCCTTCAAAAAAAAAAAATAACAATGTCTTTTACTAGAATATTGTTCTTCTCGTGTGACTGTAGCTAAGCAAATTTCAAAAAGTGTTGAACAAAACGTTTTTTTTTTCTTCTTCTTCTTCATTATTACGCGTATGAAATAAAACTGATTGAAATAAAAAAAAACACAGAAACAGAAATGAAAGAAAGAGCGAAGAAAAAAACGATCAGAATAACAACCAAACAAAAACAAAACAAAAATCATATCCATTCTTAAAAGCGATATAAGCATGTAGGTTAGCGACTATTGTTGCGATCGATATTTTTCAAATGTCGAACACAATGTTAAGAAAGATGAAAAAAGAAACGAAATGGAAATGAACATGATAATAGAGAAAGAGAGAGAGAGAGAGAGAGAGAACAGAAAAAAACCAACACCAAGATGAATATATATATAGAGACAAAACAAAAACAAATAAATAAATAAATAAAAATCTAGCAGTATATAGAGTAAAGGTTATACAAGTAAACAGCAAAAACAAGAGAAAGCAAAAATTGTTCAATGTTATTACTGTACATCATTGTAAAAGAATGTATAAAACAAATTTTTTTTTCACATTTTCATGAAGAGAGAAAGCGAGTTACACACAAAAGCCGATTATTTGCATTTTTATGCGATAATTTCACTTTAAATTAGCAAATGGACCACACATATGAGTTTTGCGATGGTAGTGATGATGAAAAGCGACGGCATCATTTTCAACCATCCATACGCTATCATATAACAGCATCTTTGAGTGAAACGCAACCGTTCCGTTCATTCGCTCCTGCTGCTGATGGTGATGATGATCGCAACTGTAGCTATAACAACAAGAACAGCAAAAATATATGAAAAATAATAAAACCGGAGAGAGAGAGAGAGCCCACATACACAAACACAGACACAGACACATACATTTTTCTCGAGTGTTAAGTATTCATTATGCAAATTTTTGCCATAAATTATGCTAATACAAAGCTTTATTCATTGTTTGCATTACACCTGTGTATAGTTAGTGTTGTTTCCAAGATCAAAACTTAAAATAAATATAACAAAAAAATAACAGACCGAGACACATACACACACAAGCTTAACATACATCGCATCTATAGGTAACATTGTAGTGGTCAAGGCATTTTTCGTGCAAAAATAATTCAAAAAAAATACAATTTCATGTAAATACATGCCTGTACAGCATATGTATGTCAATGTAAATGAACATACAAACAAAATCATAGAAAAAAAGATGCGAAGAAGAAGAAAAAAAACATGGGAAATATTAGTTAAATTTCAATTGTTCGCGCTCAATTCAGGGCGCATCCAGTTGGACAAAGAGACAAATTAATAATAATAATAAAAGAAAAACTGTCACAAAAATTGGACGAGACATTTCAACATTTATCTGCCGTTTTATTTTCATCTCCTCTATTGCATTTTCTGTTTACAGTTTATGGAATATTTTCCGAATGGGGGCTGTAGGGCTTATTTTTCCCACTCCGGGTAAGTATGCTTTTGTTCAAAGGTTTGAATGAATCCAAATGACGGGGTAAAAAAAGTTGCCAAAATAAATATCGTAAACTGCTTATTTCATTGGTTGACGTCACCCACACACACACACACACACACACACATAAAATGGCAAATACGCTGAGAACGAATTGACGAAGAGAAAGCGAGCAAAAGAGAGACACCGAGCGAATAGAGAGGGGAGAAATGAAGCGAGGAATATGTGTGTGTATGACATCAGATCATTGACGTATTTAGGACTAATGAAGCAGTAAGCCGTTTTTGGGTATGCTTCCGTTTTGATCGGATCCGGCGTCCGTTCATTTCTTGTTCCGGATTGCACCAAAAAAAGTTTAAGTGTACGCAAAATTCGGGTCTCAATCATATTTATATACGTACATATCTGTTTGGGGGACAAATGCAAATAAACACAGAACCTCGACGAATCCGGGAATCGTATTTGAAGCTCACAATTTCACTTCGATTTCTTTGACGAACCACGAAAATAAAACGTTGGTTTGCCTTCTTCGTAACGTCGCTTCTTATCTCACACAGAGAGATGTTTACCAAATAGAAAGAGACTGGTGCGCTTTTTCCATCACCGTTATCTTCGTCGTCCCCGACATCTTCGTCCTTTCTCCTCTGTCAATGAGCTTTAGAATTAATTTTGGTAATGGCACTAAAGGAGATGATGATGAAAAAAGAAAGCAGTCAGTCGCATTTAGTCATTTTTTCCTTTCTTCCTTTCTTTCTTCTTCTCTCAACTTGAACCAAAGGCACTATTAATTTGAGCATCGATATTTCGTGAAATCCGGTAATAATTCGTGGTGTAGCGCACCCACGCATACAAGCTGCCAAATGCCTTATTTAAACCGAATGTCGTTTTGTAACATATTGCATTATTTGTACCACAGCCACACAACTACTACATAGAAAATATTGTCCATAAGTTTTCCTTTAAAACTGTAAATTTTTCCATGAAGAGAGAGAGAAGGAGAGAGGGAGAGAGAGAGAGCAATAACAAATTATGTATATACATATATATGAAGAAAACTTTTCCGATATAACAATGAAAGTTCGATCTGGACAAGGTTCGGCACTTTTTTTTTTCAGCATCTACTGCTGCTTCGGTTGCTGTTCGATTGTTGTGCTGTCAGTTCTAGGTACCATTTGTACACGATGTGTTGTCGTTGCCTGTTTTTCTGTGTATGTATTGCGATTTTAGTCCGAAACTTCGGTACGAGCTTAAGGACTTGGGTGGAAAATACAAACTTTTCTTGTTATCAGAGGTTAATTGCCTGACT